TGTTGTTTTCACGGATACCAAAACAAGAAGAACCGGAAATTATGCATATTGCGTCTGGACGTAGTCCATACGTCCTGACGCTACCCCAACGTCCGCATTTAAATCGGGTTATGCAAGTTAGGGGTAACTCTTTCCATTTATGCTTGTAAACGGGTTATTCTGATCAACTCAGAAACCCGAATACTGACCTTAACCCAATCATAACCCGGATATTGGCTGCATGTAAACATAGTCATTATATCTAGAATGGGGGCAGTAACCAAAGGAAATGCTTCTTTAAATAATTTGGTTGGGATTGGATCCAAAATGCAAGTTGAAGATAAGATATTACTAAAGGCTACATTGAGGCTATCATTTTCAATGTCCACATGAATGTTGAAATCCCCCACTACAATGACCTTATCAGTATTTAGCACCAAATCAGATAAAAAATCAGAGATCTGATCCAAAAACTCAGAGTAAGGGCCTGGTGGACGATATAAAACTACAAACAAGAGTGGTCTTACAGTTTTGCAATCTGGATTAGGAAAACTAAGAATAAGATGTTCAAATGAACTGTAGCTATTAAATGGTAAGGGACTGATTAATAAATCCGAATGGAAAATGGTTGCTACTCCTCCTCCTCGCCCTGTACTTCGAGCAATATGATGATTTAAATATCTAGAAGGAGTCGACTCATTAAAGCTAACATAGTCCTCTTACTGCAGCCAGGATTCTGTGAGAGAGAGCAAAGAGATCTGATTATCACAAATCAACTCATTAACTAACAAAGTCTTAGAAAAAATGGATCTAATGTTCAACAACCCACATTTAATTTTTCTAGTTTTCTGCTCAGTTGAATTTGTTCTAATATTTATGAGATTTCCATGGTTTGCTTTATTAAGCCTGATATTTAATCTGTGTGATTTTGGCCGTGGGCAGGACACTGTCTCTATGGGGTAGTGGGTGGGTAACAGTACAGAAGCTGCAGAGGGGTGGGTTAAACTACGACTCTGCTTCCTGGTCTGGACCCTGGGTAGTCATGGAGGACTAATAAAACTGGTCATGTTCCTATAAAGAAGAGCTGCTCCATCCAAAGAGGGATGGATGCCGTCTCTCCGCATCAGACCAGGTTTTCCCCAAAAAGTTTTCCAATTATCAATGTAGCCCACGTTGTTTTCACGACACCACCTAGACAGCCAGCGGTTGAAGGACAGCATGCGGCTAAACATGTCGTCACTGGTCCGATCAGGGAGGGGGCCAGAGAAAATTACGGAGTCCGACATTGTTTCGGCAAACTTACACACCGAAGCAACATTAATTTTAGTGGCCTCCGATTGGCGTAACCGGGTGTCGTTACCGCCAGCGTGAATAACAATCTTACTGTATTTACGCTTATCCTTAGCCAGCAGTTTCAGGTAAGATTTAATGTTGCCTGCTCTGGCCCCAGGTAAACATTTAACTATGGTTGCTGGAGTCTCTAATGCCACGTTTCTGACTATGGAGCTGCCAATGATCAGAGTCGGCTTGTCAGTGGGTGCGTCACTGAGCGGGGAAAATCTGTTAGAAATGGGGACGGGTCGGTGGTGGCCCACGGGCTGGGTTCTATGATTCCTGCGTACCGTCACCCAGCCGGCCTGAGGTCCCGGCTGCTCGGGTTCCACTGGAGGGTCGCTACGGGGTGGTTCTGAGCTAGTCAGCCCCGCGCTAGCTAAGTAGCTACGGCTGTTTACGGGTTTTTCAACAGCGCGGAGCCGGGACTCCAATTCCGACACCCTCGCCTCCAAAGCTACAAAAATGCTACATTTATTACACGTACCATTATCGCTAAAGGAGGCAGAGGAGTAACTAAACATCTGACACAGAGAGCAAAAGATAGGAGACGGAAAAGCAGAGACAGAAGTAGCCATAGCCGTGCTGAGGCTAAGCTAACTGGACGAGCAAACTGTTCAACACCAAATAAACTGCGTGCAAACTCAAATGGTTCCCTAAAAGCTAGGTGGAGCAACAGAAAATGTGTGTTTTAGCGTGCTTTTGTGCTACAATAACTCAGAGATATCCTAGTACAGAGAAATTAAATCAGTTTTAGGGAGCCCCAAACACCAAACAGCTACACGGAGTGCAACACTGAAAACAGGAAACAGGAAACGCCTTCCCGCCAGGTGCAGCCAACCCAAAACCTGTGGAGTTATGTACTTCACCAAAAAAGGGGAAATAACTGAAAACATGTTTTATATTCTATTTTCTTCTAAATTGCCACCCTTTGCTCTGATTACTGCTTTGCACACTCTAGGTATTCTCTTGATGAGCTTCAAAAGGTTTTCCAACAGGCTTGAAGGAGGTCTCAGAGGTATTTGGCACTTGTTTGCTTCTTTGTAAATGGTCATGAACAAAAGAAAACACTTTGAATGAGAAGGTGTGTCCAAACTTTTGGCCTGGCCTGTGTGTGTGTATATATATATTTTCTAATTTTTTAAATTTAATAAAACGGTGAAAAATGAACATGACTGGATTGATATAAATTTTGTGACATTGCAGAAGCTCATCAAAATAATGCCACAGCTAATGTGTGCTTTAATCAAATCTAAAGGCAGTCCAACGAAATGTTAAGATTGTCCGACCTTGTTTTGGTGGCAGCTTGTTTTTTGGCCCAACGGTGTAATTCATAAAACACATAACTAAATAGAGAATTGTTTGTAGCCTCATTTAGACTAAATCAAAACTGGCAAGATGAAAAAAATCGTGACATGTTGTTGCTTTTGTCCAGTTTTAATTAGACAATGGAAAACATCAATAATGTGCTCTGAAAGTTGAGTTTTAGGATCTGTTCCAAAATGACTTCTAAGAACTGTGGAAGGTTTCCATTAATCAGGTTTTAGTGTTCTAAGGCTGAACCTGTGTGGGCGGGTGGAGACAGGACATAATCCCTGCCACATAAATCAAACACACCTTAATGATAAACTCTGCTTGTTCCTGGCTCACCTTTTCTTCCCTTTACCCTCTCAGAGAAGTCTAGATGTTGAGTCCAAACTCGAACAGAAGAAGAAAACCATTTGCTGTTCAGTAACGAGTTTTCATGAATGTGGAGAATTAAATGTAAAATTGGCAGAAAATACAACAGCGGTCATCAAATCCAGTCGCTGCTTATAATAGTTACTGAGTAGCCCGTTTTGTTCATCAGAGACCAGTTACTGCTGCTGTTGCTAAAATATTCAGGTAGGTGACACTTCTTGGTCTTCTTTGGGCCATTTTTGGTTTACATGGCACATTTTAAAAGACTGCATCTGAGTAAACTGGTCTGCAGAACTCCTGCTCGGTTCACCTCTTTGTGACCTACTGGGTGTGCACCTTTTAAACACTTGTGCACATAATGGTGCATCTGTGTGCCTCCCAGCCCTGACCCAGCAGCGTAGAGCCAGTCTCTCAGCTGTTGTAAACAACACTCTCTGTGGAGTTCCCATGCTATCTCAGTACATTCCTGGATTTTCGGTTTCTATACGAAAGGAAGCTGGAACCTATAGTTTCTGAGTCACAAAGTGAGAGATGTGAAAGAGTGGTTGGAAAGGTCAGAGGTCAAACTGTAAATTAAGACCATTTGCGACTCAATCACAACTAGAAATTTTGCAAGATGTTGCCATTTATTTGTAACTGCATCATGATTCCAGCCAGATAAAAGTAACTGTCTCAGAAAAGTTGTTTGCATCCACGAGGTTTGATTCAGAATCAAAATATACATACCCAACATCTGTGGGGGCCCTCTGCCTCGGGGGCGGAAGTTGACTGTTGCTGCCTGGGTGCTCTCCGGGTAGTGCTTGGGTGGAGGTGGGGTCTATGCCCTCCCTCCTCTTTGCCAGCTGTGGAGGTACCTCGGCTGCTGCTGCCGGGGCAGATGGCTCCTCTGATGGCGTTTTCTTGCCCTACCATATCTGGCTCATCCGATCTCAGCCCAAAATCATTTTTACTGATGTTCTTAAGTGTGTGTGTGGTGGAGTTTGGGGGGGTTGTGCCAACGTTTTAACATAGGAGTGGGAGGGATGGGAATCGGGGTTATAAAGGGTCATTTTAATCTGTAAAGCACTTTGAGTTGCATTCCTTGTAGGAAAAGTGAATGAGATAAGAATAAAACTTAATAAAGCATAACCTGTGAAACTGTGGATCAACAAACACAAATGTGTTTTATGTAGTGATGTGACGTTCACAAACAAATCGAATCTTTTGAACGGTGCCAAAACCACTGGTAAATGGTTTACTGACCATGGTATTACTACTGTGCTCAATTGGCCTGCCAACTCTCCTGACCTGAACCCCATAGACCATCTGTGGGATATTGTGAAGAGAAAGTTGAGAGACACAAGACCCAACACTCTGGATGAGCTTAAGACCGCTATCGAAGCATCCTGGGCCTCCATAACACCTCAGCAGTGCCACAGGCTGATTGCCTCCATGCCACGCCGCACTGAAGCAGTCATTTCTGCTAAAGGATTCCCGACCAAGTATTGAGTGCATAACTGAACATAATTATTTGAAGGTTGAAATTTTTTTTGTATAAAAAAACTTTTCGTATATTGGTTGGATGAAATATGCAAATTTTTTTAGATAGGAATTTTGGGTTTTCATGAGCTGTACGCCAAAATCATCAATAAGAGAAACAATAAAAGGCTTGAACTACTTCAGTTGTGTGTAATGAATCTAATATATATGAAAGTCTAATGTTTATTAGTACATTACAGACAATAAAGAACTTTATCACAATATGTTAATTTTTGAGAAGGACCTGCAGAAGAAAGTAGTGTGGAAAGTCTGTTTGATGTCTGTCATGGGTTAATCCCGCCAACAGGTGTCGCTAGAAGCACCGACTGGTGAACCTGGAAAGCCTCTCTGCTTCCTGAAGCTTCGTTTATGTTGGCCCTAACTGGCTTTTGCATGTGGTTGAACCTTCTGGGCCACCGTAATAATCAGGAAACTTTAATACATTTAAAAAAGGGCTTTTCTGTATGCGCTTTTCAGCGCGGACCTGGAGTGACGCAGCTTTTACAAACCAGCCGCTCAGCTCTGTGCCGCATTTTTCCGCCTGGCCATAATAAAGCCCGGCTTTATTATGGCCAGGCGGTGAGTTATTGCGCAGTCACGCGTCCCTCCCAGAGGCCGAACCGGACCGGACCGTACCGTATGAACAGAGGTGTTTCCTCTCTTTACCTTTTCCTTTCTCTTTCCTGCGCTCGGAGCTCGCGCGACACCCGCGTGCATCGGGACAAGCACCAGGTAACCGAACAATGTTTTCTTATTCCTGAAACAAAAACGCCTTTAAACCAACAGGAAAGCTCCAAACTGCGCTTTTACGCAAACAACACCAGGGAAAGGTCGAGTCTTCCGGGTTGTTTCCGGGTCATTTGCGTTGTTTTCATATTCTTTATGCGTTTTAGTAAAAACATGTAAGAGTTGGAGCTAGATGTTGAAGTTTTGAATAGAAACACGAGCTGCTGTTCTACCCAAATGTCTTTTCTGTTTTAAATCCGGTCTTATTTGTGTTTAAACCTATTTTAAAGTCTACTGTTTTCATAGTTTCTTTAATGAAATCTGTTTGAAATGCGCTTCTGAATAAAACTGCCTTGCCTTCTTTATGTTTGGTTTTCACTCAGCAGCTCTGACTTTGGGGTTTCTCATCTGGTTTTTGCTTTAGGCTTCACTTTGTCTCCCACAGATTGAACAAATACATCATTTTATTGCATTTTTGTAAGATTTCCAGTCTGACCTGGTTTTCTCTCCATATCTCAGCACAGCATCATCCAGCATGGCCACCGTCAGCAAAGCAAACACTGACTTTGCCTTGGAGTTTTTTAACACTCTGAGTGCGGCAAATCCCACCGGGAACATCTTCGTCTCCCCGCTGAGCATCAGCTCAGCCCTGGCGATGGTCTACCTGGGAGCCAAAGGAAGCACGGCCGCTCAGATGGCAAAGGTCAGCCGCTAGAGCTCCTGTCAGAGTCAGTCATTATAAAAGTGACTTTAACCTTTTAGGACTGGGTAAAAAGAAACAGAAGACAAAAAGAGCTTTAAATACTCTAACTCAGTAAGAGCTGCATGCTTCATACATTTGATGGTACTTGACCAACAAGGTTGGATCCATTCCTTCACCTGCACAGACAAACCTCTGACCTTCTGCTTGGTGGAACACACAATCCACCTATTCTTAAACCAGTTAAACACCAGTGCTCGTAATGGTGTGAGTCTGTCTGACGCGGCCCTGAACCAAGTAACTGGGCTTCAGGCAGCTCTCAGAAAGTTCCTCTGAACAGAAACGGGTCAGACCAGCTTTAAAAACCAGCCGCAAAACATAAAAACGTGTTCTTGAACCAACAGGAAGCCAGCTGTCTGAGACCAACACCGCTCAAGTGCTCTGATCTGAATTAGGGCGAAGCATTCAAATCGAACCTTGATGGGATAGAAAATATTTATACATCTCCCCAGAGGAGAGATCAATTCAAACTTTATTTATAAAGCACTTTTCATGCACAGGAAGCAACACAAAGATTAAAATGACCCAAATAACCCACATTCCCTCCCTTTCCCACACTTAAAACAATTATGACAGTTTCACCCATAATCCACAAAGCATTCACACACACACACACACACATACACACACACATACACATTAAAAGACCACAGTAAACACTAGGCTGAGCTCAGATTGGACAGGTAATGAAAGACACACCATCAGGGGAGCCATCTGCCTCGACAGCAGCAGCTCCACGGCAGCAGCCAAGACACCAATCCAGGGCGCCCTGGGAGGGAGGATGGCAACCCCCCACCTCTACCTGGGCACTACCCAAGGAGGGCCCCAGCCGCCGCCACCGACCACCGGTCTCGAGGCAGAGGGCTCCACAGAGGAAACACTGGAAGGATTAAAATACGTAAAATCACAAGAGCTAATACAGAAAGTAAAACGTCCAATAAAATGTGATTATAGAAATAAAACAACATAAATGTGTAACACGACAGTAAAAAAAAAAAAAAGTTAAACAAGCGATGCAATAAATAGTAATCAGTTAAAAGCTCTTCCTGAAAGATGGGTCTTAACTCCAGCTAAATGTTGTTTTACTTTTGCCAAATCTTGTCAGAAACGGAACAAAACCAGCTGTAAAATCCTCATTCTAGACTCTAATGAGTAATTATATTCCAGGGCCGTGCATTTCCACTCTGAGGACCACAGGTGGCCCTCGACCCACTCATTGATTTACACGCTCCGTGAAATCCTGTGGAGGTTGGGACAGTCTGTTTAACCCCGTTGTGTATCTACGCATCAACGGTGGCCAGGTGTGTCCTGGGCGAGGCGCCGACTCGCTCGACCTTGACCCCATTCCAACAGGCTGTCATTGTTCATAGAACAGCAGAACGATACAGAAGATCCTGAGTTTCTGTGATTTGAGTCACGTTGGTGTGTTTGAAGTAGCTTATCACGTCCTGGTTATTAAAAAACTGGTTGTGTGGGAATTTAGTTGTGTTTGTAAATCTGCTCCGCTCCTCTCTCTGTTATTTTAATGAATGAAAACACTCAGGTCCTCTCGTTCGGCTCCGGCGTCCACGCAGACTTTCAAACACTCAACGCCGACATCAACTCTCCTTCTGCATCGTACATCCTGAAACTAGCCAACCGCCTTTATGGAGAAAAGACCAGCAGTTTTCTCCCGGTGAGCTCGCAGACGGCACCCATCTGCTCGTTGAACACTCCGGCTGGGACAGGATCCCTAAGCTTGTTATCTGCTGTTTGCAGAAATTCCTGGAAGACACAAATAAGTTCTACCAGGCAACCCTGGAGGCCGTAGATTTCATCGGATCTCCGGAGTCGTGCAGGGCAGAGATCAACGGCTGGGTGGAGCAGCAGACAGAGAGTCAGCAGCTTTATTCCTCCTGCAGATTGTAAAGCTGTGAATCATTAACGCCATGCATGCATATTTTCTTTCAGATAAGATAAAAGACCTTCTGAAGCCTGGAATGGTCACTCCAAACACGAGACTGGCTCTGGTGAACGCCATCTACTTCAAAGGAAACTGGTTGAACCGCTTTGATGTGGCCAACACCAAGGAGATGCCTTTCAAGGTCAACCAGGTAAAGTAATGTGGATGCAGAACATCTGAAGAGTTTCACGAATAAGATCCAGATTTTGCAAAGATCTGTTGGTTTCCTGGTTTCCGTGCATCAGAATGAGTCCAAAACAGTCCAGATGATGTACCAGATGAAGAAGCTTCCTTACAACTACATCCCAGAGTTTGGGCTGCAGATCCTGGAGCTGCCGTATGTGAAGGAAGAGCTCAGCATGTTCATCCTGCTGCCCGCGGAGTCTGCGGATGGTTCTGACCCTCTGCTGAAGGTACGTCGCCAAAACGACCACCAGAGTTTGGTTCCATCTGTTTTTCTTATTGATCTGGTTCAGATGGGGTTTTATTCTGAATAACCACCAGCTTTACTCTGTCTCAGCTGGAGAAGGAGCTGACGCAGGAGAGGCTGAACGAGTGGACCAACAGGGCAAACATGGACGTCCACTCGGAGGTCCTCGTCCACCTGCCGCAGTTCAAGCTGGAGGAGGAGTACGAGCTGAACGAGCACCTGGCTAAACTGGGCATGACAGATGTGTTCTGCTCGGCCAAGTCCGACCTGTCGGGCATGAATGGAGAGGGGGGGCTGTTCTTGTCAACGGTGGCCCACAAGGCCTTCGTGGAGGTGAACGAAGAGGGCACGGAAGCAGCTGCAGCCACAGCTGGAATGGTGGCTTTCTGCATGCTGCGGGAGGAGCACTTCACAGCAGATCACCCCTTCCTCTTCTTCATCAGGCACAATAAGACCAAGTCCATCCTGTTCTTCGGCAGGTTCTCTTCTCCTCAGTAGACCCGACAGCTGTGGGAGGTGGAGCAATTCAAGCAAGACCAGCAAATGTCTACAAATAAACCAGTTTCACACCCTTCGGTGTCGTTTCTGTCTTTGCTCAGGAGTGGTGGACGTGGGTTCTCAAACGCTTACTTTAGTTTGGACTAAGAATGAATAACATTTCAGACATGTTGATTAAATGAGCGGTTTGGTGGAATTTAAACGGGTTTTTAGCAAATGATCAATGCAGATGAGGTGATTCAGGCGATCAGCTTCAGGTGAGTTCATGCTGCAGTTTTGTTGTTGTCCACCAGAGGGCAGCAAAGGCTCGGGTTTCTAGCTCTGTGGTCACGTGTTTATAGGATCAAAAAGAAAACGTCCGGTTTTAAATTTTTATAATGGTAACAGTTAAATAGTTTGTTCTGATTTTATCGTTTATACTTAAGAGACAGATGCCCTCGCGGGCCAGAGATGAACTGACAATAAAAACAGATTTAACCCTGATGAGACTTTTCACACAAGTACATCAGGCTTTTTACCAAGTCCGAACTCGTGAGCAGATTTGGTGCTCGGTGCTGGGAAGAATCACCACATGTGCATGCGTAGCGAAGCTTTGGTGAATCTTTTCTAAGGTGCGGCGGCCAGTTGTAGGATGGGGATGAGGAGGCTGCTGCTGGAAATTCCCTGTATGGGTTTTGTTTTGATGGATCCCAGCCGGGGGCAGACTGGGACAATAAATCATCTCGGGCCTTTGGAACCAGCCCGGGCTGCTACCCAAGAATGGTCAGGTTGGGCGCCTGTACAGGTGTACAGGCATGGACGTAATTTTCACTTTAGAAGTAGGGGGGACATGGGGGGGGGGGATCTTTACAGTATGCTCTAATGGGAAACGGGCTTCAACACAAACGGTTGTTTTCCGCTTGGTCCTAGAGCTCAACCAGTGTCACTTTAATATAGCGTAATATTGTTTTTGGATGGTAAAAAGTGCAGGGGTCAAAACTTGACTTTGGAAAAAGTGGGGGGGACATGTTCCCCCCCCCCCAAAATTACGTCCATTTGTAAAGGTCCTCTAGGTCTCGTCCAATGCGTTGTCTTTATCTTAATGACCATTTACATTGGTAGATTCTTATTGAAGGCATCAAAACTATGAATGAACACATGTGGAGTTATGTACTTCACCAAAAACGGTGAAATAACTGAGAACGTGTTTTATATTCTAGTTTCTTCTAAATTGCCACCCTTTGCTCTGATTACTGCTTTGCACACTCTAGGTGTTCTCTTGATGAGCTTCAAGAGGTAGTCACCTGAAATGGTTTTCCGACAGTCTTGAAGGAGTTCCCAGAGGGGTTTAGCACTATTTGGCCTGTTTGTAAATGGTCTTCAGATCGCAGACCACCTGCTCCTGTGCATCCCAAAGATGAGATAAACGGTAAACGGTAAATGGCCTGTATTTGATATAGCGCCTTCTAGAGTCCTGGAACCCCCCAAGGCGCTTTACAACACAATCAGGCATTCACTCACACACATTCACACACTGGTGGTGATGAGCTACAATGTAGCCACAGCTGCCCTGGGGTGCACTGACAGAGGCGAGGCTGCTGAGCACTGGCGCCACCGGTCCCTCCGACCACCACCAGCAGGCAAGGTGGGTTAAGTGTCTTCCCCAAGGACACAACGACAGCGACAGACTGAGCGGGGCTCGAACCTGCAACCTCCCGATTACGGGGCGAGCACTTAACTCCTGTGCCACCGTCGCCCCAAGAGATACTCCCGTGGGGAGCGGGCTTTTGTGTTCACTGCCCCCAAACTCTGGAACACACTCCCCCTCTACCGGGCGTTCATCAGTAGCTGAGTGAGAGAGGCTGAGAGGGAAAGAAACTCAGAGAAGCTTTAGAGCCTTTTTACTGCTGGAGAAAAAAACGTAGCATCATCATCTTCCTAAATGCAGTTATTCTCTTCTGAATCAGCACTTCTATAAAGAAGAAATAGTTAAATGCAACAAAGGGAAATATCCTTTTATTCAGCCTTTTCATGCGACTTGTATCAAAAAATAAGTCTGAGCAGTGTTAAAGGTTGTCTAAAAAATAGACCTTGAAGAGTTTGAAGATTTTTTTGTTTTAATAAGTTCATCTTAAAACATCTTTCTCAAGTAAAATAAAGTTTCCCCTGTGAGGTCAGATAGGCCCATCTGTGCTGTTTTGTAACAGAAATAAACAAATGAATCATATTTGTCCACCCAAATACTTAAATATCACAAAAACAGGAAGGACAAAAACACCGTCAAGGTAAAGTAAGAAATTCTATTTTTAAATAAGCGGCTGTTTGTGATTAATCATGACTTAACTATGGACTTTATATCATTATTAAATAGCCTATGTGGCCTATAGGCTATGTAACTGAGATTTAATATGAAAAATTAGACAAACCTATTTTCAAACTAGGTATTTGCTCCATGTTGATATATATTTCATAAACATTTACGGGCCAAGAGAAACATCAGCTGCTGATGGTATAATATGAAGAAAAAAGTCCGTTATGCTAACCTCCTCCCTTCATATTCAGAATTTTCTAGTTGTGTATAAAATGTGTGTATTGTGCCTCTCTAGTTCTTAATAAAGGTTAAATAGTTTTTAATTTAGTCATGTCAAATGCCAGTGATTTATAAGCCAATATAAACCTATAAATAATCTATTGCAGTATTTTTTACCATGGTTTAAAACTTTTATCTTATTATAGAATGAATATGACAAATTGTCTTTTTGTGTTTGAAAGCAGGCTCAATGAACAAGTACGTTCATAGAGGAGAAGGGTTATCATTGGAGAAACACATGTGTCACAATCGGTGCTTGTGGTGTGTGGATCTGTTACACAGTTCTAAATAATAACAATATGGACTTCCTGTGTTGAGTGTGTTATATTATGTTAATATCCATCCCACTTTGTGGAAATAATAAGCATTTTGTGCATACAAGAGAATTAAAGAGAATGCTTGCACTTACTGTGTTATTGTCTTGTTTTTTATTTTTGTGTGTGTGTGTGTGGGGGGGGGGGGGGGGGGTGCACACGAAGCCTTTGTGCTTAGGGCACCAAAATAGCTAGCAACGGCCCTGACCACAGCATTGCACTTAGAACAGAAAACACAAACTAAAATTAAATCCTAACCTTGATGCAAAGTCATCAATAATGTCATGATATGAAATCTGCTCCCCTACTGAGTGATTGATACTAATCCGAGCCAGGTGAGTGAGCCGCCCCTGAAACATAAGAGCCATTCCCATCTGTACCGGGTTGGCCCGGGCCGGGTAGCCCCAGTCGGCCCCAGCCTGGCCCGGTTGATTCCACACATCCTTGCCTTAAGCCCATGTGGGCTGATTCTACCCACCAATCAGAGGCTTGCTCTAATGGAAGGTGTGAATTTGCTGTCAGCAGTGGGTGTGTTGGCCCTGGTCGGCCTGAAGCAGTACCCCTCGGGAAGAGGGCCGAGAATGAGCCTTGGTTGGCCCGGGAAAATTCCAGGCCACCCAGATATGTAAACAACCTACGCTACCCGGCCCGGGCCGACCCGGTACAGGTGGGAATGGCCCATTAGGTGACCTCAGGTATGACTTGATCAAGTTTTGAAAAGCTCCTCTCAGCTTGAGCCACAGTGACTGAGATAGAGCTCCAATAGATCTTTATCATGATCCATAATATTTTAGAATTGCCCCTGAAATTGTAATTTAAACTGACATAAAAAACTGTAGACTACCAAAAATGCCAACTTTTACAGAACAAATCAGGTAAAAATAATCAGTGCAGCCATCTGCAATAAATAAACAGGATAGTTAGTGGTGACTGGGGAGTTTTCTTCTGCTTGTAGAGTTGTTTCATTTATTATTATGTGAATATGATCAACATGTGTTTGTTGTTGTTCAGGCAGGCCACAGGCTGCAGCGAGCATTTAACAAATCCTAGTTTGAATCAGTAAAAACCGATTCAAGGAAATTTTTTGAACCATTTGAATATTCGTTTCAATATTTCAGCCCTATTAGCTCTGTTAGCAATTAGTTGGCCGAATTTAACCGTTAAAATCCCAGTCAACTGGTTAAAAAATGTAAAACATGCATCATGAGAGCGTACATACCTTTATCTTTCTCCTCTTTTTTTCTTTTTTTTTTCCTGAATCAGGCACCTGGTGGTTTTAGCCTTTTTATGTTCATCTCTTCTGTTTGGCTCTTGACTCAATAAGTTTCCTTTAGTCAGGACTAAACAATGTGACCTTGATGGGGGGGGTGACCACAAAATCGTTTGGTTTTTCCTTTTTTTATTTGGTCATTTCACACAATTCAGAAAAACCTGAAAGAATGATAGGCCTGTGTTTATGATATTATGAATGAAATGTGCGTTAAATGGAAGAACATCAAGATGTGATTGACTTTAGCCATGTTAATACAGTTGATTCAGCCCCTACCCGCTCATTTCATTTGGGAAAGACCCAGAGGTGAATTCCCCCACCACACCCCTCCCCTTCCTCTTCTTCATTGAGTATGTTCACATGCAGCCAATATCCGGGTTATGATCGGGTTAAGGTCAGTATTCGGGTTTCTGAGTTGATCAGAATAACCCGTTTACAAGCATCAATAGAAAGAGTTACCTCTAACTTGCATAACCCAATTTAAATGTGGACATTGGGGTAGCGTCAGGACGTATGGACTACGTCCAGACGCAATATGCGTCATTCCCGGTTCTTCTTGTTCCGGTATCTGTGAAAACAACAACATGTTTCCCAGTTCGGAAGAGATAGCGACCGCGTTTGTTTGCGCTTTAGTTTCCTCGCCACTCCAAAAGTGTGGTGCTGTGCCGCGACTCGCCATGTTGCTCCCAACTTGTTGTTTACTTCCGGTGTTCTGGCGCATACAAGACGTCTCGCTACTCAAAAGACCAAGATTCCTTGCAAACAGAGCATGCGCAGAACACACACTTTGATGGGGATATCCCGATATGCGTTTACACGACCAAACATTCGGGTTAGAAAAGGGTTACCCCAGGTGTAGTAACCGGGTTATGAGCATATCCAGGTTTTTGGCGGTGTTTACAAAGACCTGTGGAACCGGGTTATTGTGAATATTCGGGTTTTAAAAGGGTCACTGGCTGCATGTAAACGCACTGATAGACGCACGGTGCACGTGATCCCTCTCAGTCAGCAGGAGCACCTGCAGCTGCAGGGGGCGCCAACTTGCTGTTTCCAATCCAGACACTGTGATATGACAGGATAGGAAACCTCGGTGCGGCGCAGATTTCTTTCTTTTTTATTTTTTACTCAGCGCTTGTGCGCCCCTTTTGTGTCATGAAAAAATGCCGCCCCGGGCAACTGCCCTGTCTGCTCGTGCCTAAAACCGCTACTGTACCATACCAAACCATACCACCTTTAATTTTTATAGCACTTTAAAAACACAGCCATACGGCTGACCAAAGTGCTGAACAGTTGCACAATAATAGAGATAAAAACATAAAACAGTACTATAAAATACAGCCAACAATAAAAAGAAAGACAAGCCGATAAAAAAGTACCAATAAAACCTTACAATGGACAATAAAATAAGAGTAGTAAAAGCCAAACTAACAGCTAACTGTTAAAAGCAAGGGTAAAATAGTGTGTCTTTAGTCTAGACTTAAAATCTGCCAAGGAGGATGCCAGTCGAACTGTGACTGGAAGTTCGTTCCACAGTTTAGGACCGGCAACAGAGAAAGCTCTTCGGCCGCATGATTTGTAACACTCTTTCGGGACCTAGAGGAGCAACAGGCTGGAGGACCTGAGTGTGCGACCGGGAGTATAAATTGAAAGGTCAGATAAGTACACGGGGGCAAGACAATGGAGGGATTTGAAAACAAAAAGTAGCATTTTATATTGGACCCTGAAAGTGATGGGCAACCAATGAAGGGATTTGAGAACTGGTGTTATATGCTGGCGCCTGTCAGTACGTGTTAGGAATCTAGCAGCTGCGTTTTGAACGAGTTGAAGTCGGGCAAGGGTTGACTTATTGACACCCAGCAAAACTGCATTTGAGTAGTCGAGCCTAGATGTGATGAAGGCATGAACAACTGATTCCAAATTTTTCTAGATAAAACAGCTCTTAATTTGGACGGATGGCGGAGTTGGAAAAAACAAGATTTTACAGTGGCATTGACTTGGGCGTCCATCCTTAGAGATGAATCCATCTTCACACCCAGGTCTGTCACAACGGTTTTTAGATTTTGAGAAATAGATGAAAGATCTGGGGTTTGGAAAGTACCCACCCTTTTTGGAGTCCCTGGGACGAGTGCTAGATAGTGCTCCATCAGGGGACTCCATTGTTCTGCTGGGGGACTTCAATGCTCACGTGGGCAATAACAGCATGATCTGGAGGGGTGTGATTGAGAGGAACGGCCCGCCTGATCTGAACTCGAGTGGTGTTTCGTTATTGGACTTGTGTGCAAGCCGCAGTTTGGCCATAACGAACACCATAATTGAATATAAGGATGCCCATCGGTACACTTGGTACAAGGGAAGCCTAGGTTGCAGGTCGATGATATACTTTGTAGTCGTATCATCTGACCTGCGGCCTTAAGTTTTGGACACCCGAGAGAAGAGAGGAGCGGAGCTATCAACTGATCACCACCTGGTGGTGAGTTGGATCAGATGGCAGGGGAAGATGCCGCGTAGACCTGGCAGACCCAAACGCATAGTGAGGGTCTGCTGGGAACGCCTGGCAGAAGAACCTGTCAAGACGGTCTTCAACTCCCACCTCCAGCAGAGCTTTGACCGCGTCTCGAGAGCAGTGGGGGACATTGACTCAGAGTGGGCCTTTTTCCACTCTGCGATTGTTGAGGCGGCTGTCGCTAGCTGTGGTCACAAGGTGGCCGGTGCCAGTCGTGGTGGCAACCCCCGTACCCGCTGGTGGACACCAGAGGTTCGGGGAGCCGTCAGGCTGAAGAAGGAGGCCTACAGGACGTGGCTGGTCTGTGGGTCTCCGGAGGCAGCAGACAGGTACCGGATAGCCAAGCGGGGTGCAGCAGTGGCAGTTTCCGAGGCAAAATCTCGGGCATGGGAGGAGTTTGGTGAGGCTATGGAGAAAGACTATCGATCGGCTCCAAAGAGGTTCTGGCAAACTGTCCGGCACCTCAGGACAGGAAGGCAGCAACTCGCTCACACTGTTTACAGTGGGGATGGGGAGCTGCTGACGTCAACTAGGGCTATAGTCGGACGGCGGAAGGAATACTTTGAGGAGCTCCTCAATCCCACCTACGTGCATTCTGAGGAGGAACCAGAGCCGGGAGACCTGGGGATGGACTGTCCAATCTCGGGGGTAGAAGTTGCTGAGGTAGTCAAACAACTACACAGCGGCGTAGCCCCAGGGGCAGATGAGATTCGTCCTGGGTATCTCAACGCTATGGATGTTGTAGGGCTGTCGTGGTTGGCACATCCCTGCAACATTGCATGTGTCATCGGGGGCAGTTCCTGTGGAGTGGCAAACCAGGGTGGTGGTCCCCATCGGGGGGGGGGGGGGGGGGGCCTCCAGGAGTATGGGGTGGGTGGCTTTCTTTTAAGGGCCACTCAGTCTTTTTACCAGAGGAGCGTGAGTTTGGTCCGCATAGCCGGTAGTAAGTCGGACCTGTTCCCGGTGAGGGTTTGACTCCGCCAGGGCTGCCCTTTGTCACCGGTTCTGTTCATTACCTTTATGGACAGAATTCCTAGGTGCAGCCGTGATGTGGAGTGTGTCGAGTTTGGTGGCAGGAGAATCTCGTCTCTGCTTTTTGCAGATGATGTAGTCCTCCTACCTTCATCCAGCTCTGACCTTCAGCTCAGTGAAGCGGCTGGGATGAGGATCAGCACCTCCAAATCTGAGACCATGGTTCTCAACTGGAAAAGGGTGGCTTGCCAAACTCCGGGTCAGGGGAGACGTCCTACCTCAAGTGGAGGAGTTTAAGTATCTCGGGGTCTTGTTCACGAGTGAGGGTAGGAGGGATCGGGAGATTGACAGGCGGCTTGGTTCATCTACGTCCCAATCCTCACCTATGGTCATGAGCTTTGGGTAATGACCAAAAGAACGAGATCGCGGAAACAAGCGGCCGAAATGAGTTTCCTCCGTAGGGTGGCCGAGCTCAGCCTTAGAGATAGGGTGAGGAGCTCGGACATTCAGGAGGGACTCGGAGTAGAACCGCTGCTCCTCCGGATCAAAAGTAGTCAGTTGAGGTGGTTTGGGCATCTGGTCAGGATGCCTCCTGGACGCCTCCCTGGGGAGGTGTTTCAGGCATGTCCTGCTGGCAGGAGGTCCCCGGGTCGACCCAGGACACGTTGGAGAGGTTACATCTCCAGTCTGGTCTGGGAACCCCTTGGGGTCCTGCCGGAGGAGCTGGTGGAGGTGGCCGGGGAGAGGACGGTCTGGAGCTCCCTAGTTGGGATGCTGCCCCCGCGACCCGGACCCAGATAAGTAGAGGAAGACGACGACGACGATCTGAAAAAGTTGCATCCATAATTTTCACATTACATACAGGTAAGCCCATTGAGAACACGAAATCCAGAGTGCAATCCAGCTCATGCGTAGGGCCATTAACAAATTGACAATACTGTAAAGAGTCAGTCACGTTTAAAATGTCCAGAACCAAAGGCCTGTCAGTGCAACAGGCATGAATATTAAACACTCCCAATATTAAAACATGATCATATTGTCGTGTGTCCTGTAGCGACATGAATGACCTCATTTGTGACCCAAAGGTCACACTTCCTCAGCTGGGTCAAGCTGTCCTGGCTGCACTTCTATTTACAGATTATCCATCACAGGAGACACAGAGTCTGCTGTAAACCATCTTTAATCTGACTGCCTTTTATCTGTCTGCTGTTCTGTCCGCAAGATGAAGGACACTTCAAGATTTAAAATAATCATTTTTAATAAACTCTTTTCACTGCTTATTACCAGTTTCATAAATAATCATCATGGTTCATTATAAATGTATTTAATTACTGAAATGACTTATTTTTCTTTGGTTAATAATAATTATTATTTATGATAATCAGTAATGTTTAACAGTGTACAGAAGGTCATGTACACTAATACACACCATGCAGGGGACAGACATCAGGGTAAAGGTAACTGCTCTCACACGCCTTTGCTCCATAACCAAAGCTTTCTATCTCTGAGAGGGCGTGTCCTGAGGTTTAAATAAAACCAAACTCCTCAGTTCAAGTTCAGTTCTTGAACCAACCAAAATCTCTCCGTGGCACGAGAGTCCCAGAGGATAAGGGTCGGCCGGCCCTCCACTAAGCTGTTCTGTCACGCCGATAGAATCGCTCCAACAAATGCCACCTGCAACCAGCTGATGCAAACTCCTTCAGAGTTATTGATTTTTTGAGACGCGACCAGTTTCATCAGTCGTTGTGACCCGGAGACATCTCAGGACCGAGTTGGTTGCACCAAGGTTCTTCTACCCACCTCGTGCTTGGGGGGTTCGTCATCCCACCTGACATCTCGGATCCAGAAGAGGGTCTCCTAACTGGGTGAGGTAGACACTTCCGACAGATTGCGTCCGTATGCTGTTCCTCTAAGAAATAACTTAGTTCAGCTGCAAAACAAACTCTTTCACCAAGAACGCGTTTTCCCTCTCTGAAAGAAACCTTCTGAGATTCCATTCACGCATCCAAACACACGCATTTCATTTTAGTCCTCATCCAGACACAGGTTGTCTTAACCCTTTGATGCATAATGGTCACTACAGTGGACAGGTACTCAAAATTGTTAGTTATTTGTTTTTGCTATTAAGCACAGCTGTTGAAGACTATTGCATTTGAGCCCCTCCATTTGGACTTCAGTAAGCCAAGCCAACATATTTCATGCTCAGAATGCACGCTGTCCACTGAGGTGGACATGTAATAAATTATTTGTAAATTATAAAATTTTACAAAAAAATATTTTTTGAAATTTGTTTCATTCACACCTAAAAACGAATGACAAAAATTGTTAAAAAAAATCATGGTTGAAGATTTCATAATTCATGCATCAGAGGGTTAATACCAAGTTTTAATATCAAAGTTGTATAAATTGTCATTTATGATTTGACTTTTAAATTGTCATCTTTAAATTTTTAGTAATAAATTCTTAACTTTTTAAAACTGACTCTTCTTTGAAATGAAACACAGAGTGGTGTATATTTGATTATTGAATAAGCAAAGATTTCTTTAAATCTTCTGATTTAATAAATAAACTTTTGCTATTAATTAAATCTCTTAAATTAAATATTATCTTTGGATTAAATATAGACCAAGCCAGTTGGTGTATGAACTTCTATCGATTATATAAATATCCTGGATATTTATACATGATATAAGCTTCATTTGCTAATTTGTTTGATCTTTCTCAGGATTTAGCCAAGCTGATAGCAAAGAGCGGTAAATTCTAGTATGTAGATTGTCTACGCTACAGTCCCTTTTCTTTTTTTCTCCTTCTGCAGGTCTAGTCAGTGACTCGATGCAACCTGCTGGGTTCCTTACTTGGGAAACTTTTTACTGATTGGCTTAATGAACTGACCTGTATTGGAATGTTTATTATGTGAAGTACCTTGAGAAGAGACTTGTCGTGATTTGGCGCTAGATAAATAAAATTTAATTGAATTGTGCCATAACCTCACCCAAAGGTTCAGAAAAATCATGTAAAAGTTGGAATCGTACTTTGGAGGGCGATAAATCTAAATAACTAGTGCAGGTGAAGAACCCAGCTGAAACATGCACAATTCAAAACAAATATTTAAAATGCCGAGGGACACCTGCTTACAGTTAAAACTAGATTTAAAAACAACCAGCACCCTCACCCCCCATGACCCGCTGACCTAGATACATTAAAATATGAGCAGCTCCCAGGTAGCACCTCGGAGACAGCAATGGGAATCTTCCATAGGGTCCACCATTCAGATGAAGAAGTCTTTCAGGATAAACGTTTTATCCAGCACTGATGCAGAATTCACCAGGCTGAACTTTATAGGTGACAGGCGTGTTGATCCAGTTATCAGAGTCATCGGTGCTGGCCCAAGTACCGTCCCAGTCTTGAGGGCACGTTTGCTCAAAGTTCCTGGATGTTTAACTGCCCCACCCAGTGTATCGAAGACACATTAACGAATCTCTCTGTGGACTTAGGACAGCAAAGTATCCCATAATGCATTGCACATAAGCTCATAACTGTAGTGTTTTATATCGGAAATACAAAATGTAAAGTAGTCTGTTAGTAATTGCGTGTAATCTGTGATATTTGCTGTGTGTCTGACTTCAGATTATTTTATGTGAAACATCCCGTTCTAAACTTCTGACAGCTTATTAATGCCAGTTTTTATACCATGATGTGATCATTTAGGTACAACGCAACAGACATGTATAGTATTTTATCCTAAAAACGGAGTCATTAGGAAAATCCTCCTCAAACACAAAAAACTCGGTTATGAATGTGTTCACGACGTTCAGCAGCCTCGGTAGTAAAGGCACAAAAATGCAGCATTTCTTATAATGTGTGAGCGATAAAGTGAACCGGTTTACCATTCCAGCCGTCTGACCCGGTTAACTCCCACCTGGGTGGATTCCAGGCAGACCCTGACCTTCTCAGCAGTCGGAGACAAGGATGACCTCCGAGCAGGACGTGAACCCGACGGTCCGTGGGATCAGAACCCCGGTAAACCTGCAGGCTCTGGCTGAGCGAATCACAGAGCAGATCTCACAGGTGAGTCACCTGCGCTGCACCTGCAACACGTCACCTTAACTAGAGGTTTAAACGCCATTAGAGATGTTATTTTTTTGTTATTATTGTAGGAATTGACATTCAGAGGGAATTATGGTCGAGTTTGTTTCATCCATGAAATGTGATCAGTCACCCCAACGTCGTGCAGCGTGTGCGTCTTGTGGAAAACATCGATCGGTTCTCTGTCCTCCGTGCAGCAGCCAGGTGCATTTCACCGCGCGCTGCAGATGGAGGAGGCAGGGGCGCCTCCAGAAAATGTTGATGGGGTGGCCAGACGGTGGGAGAGTTTAGCCTGCGGCGATGTTGTATTGCATTGCTCCTTTGTTTGTTTTTATTTAAAAAATAAACAGTTCGTATCCAAAACAATTAACTTAAATTTTACAAACACAAACATTTCAAAATGTATTTTTTAGTTTAATTCACCTGTGTTCACAAAAAACTATGGAGATAAAACCTTTTTTAACCTGTGATCAGCAGAAACGTGTAGTTTTTTAAATTATGATTATTTTTTACTCATTAATTGGATTATTTTGATGTCCTGAAAAAACAAGATCACTTTATGGTTTGAGTGAATGTGATACGTTAACACTGGCTTTTCTTGAGGAGGAGCAGCAATTTCCTAGGGGTGGCCATGGCCACCCCTGACCACCCTGAAGTGGACTTTCCTGCTGGTTTCAGGCTTTGGAGACAACAAATAAAAGAATATTGAAATCAATTTGGGGTTTGATTGATTGATTTGAGTGTTTTACGCAGGATAGATTGATTATAAACAACATTAATCTTTCATAATGTTGGGCTCATAACTTTTAATGTATTCTGTGGCTCAGACGTCCATCCCCACCACCTCATCCTCACTAAGGTCAGGTGTCTGACTCCATCTGTCAATATTTGTTTAAATTTCATTCAGCCGGTTGTTTTGGGATTCATCAACACACCTGTGGTATAATTCTGGCTGATATTTAACCTCTCTGTGACAAAGTTCATTTAAACCGGTCGGTCGGTTTCCTTGTACCAAGTCACCAAGTCCACAAATGCTCTATCAGGTCGAGACCCGAATGATGGGAAGAATGCTCCAGAAGCTCAACGCCAGGCTGCTTTAGACCATAAAGAACCAGTGGGGGTGTGTGTTTTTGGTCAGCCGTGTCCTCCTCCTCCTTTTGGTGGCCCAGAAGGTTCAATGAGATACAAACGTTGCAGCAAAACAGAAGTCCTTATAGAAAGCACGTTCAGCTAATTCTGTCATGATCCTGCCATGCCCTGACCTCCATGCGCCACCATTCACCTCATCAGCCTTCATGCTTCACACCTGGTCCCCTCATCTAGGCCCAGCCAACCCTGTTTCCACAGCGATCCCAGCCTGCATCTCATCAGCTTCATCCACTGCACCTGCTCCTGACTCCTCAGCTCATCACACACCTGCTTCCCCTGCCACTTAAGAACCAGCCATCCAACCATTCGGTGCCAGATTATTGAACGCTCACGCCAGTAAATTCTCCAGCACTCCAACCTCCGCCTGTATCATAGCCTCCTGACCTCGTTTCCACGCCTGAACCTTGCCAAGGTCCCTGCCTGCCTCCACAACCCTCGCTTGTCTTCGAGCACGCCTCCAGCCTGCTCCCTGTACCTGAGTATTACCCCATTAACACCTCCACATCTTAGCTCCTGGCTAATAAAGACTTTTAAAGTGCTTACTGTGTTTGATGTCATCACGGGTCCTCCAAGTTCTGATCGTGAAAAAGTCCCTAATGAAATCAAAAACACAAATAAATGAGTGACAACAGCATTCAGGGACAGGCCGCAGGACTCACAACACCGTTATAAATCCTCACATTTACCAACGTTTCTGGCGTAAATCAGGGGTGAGGAACCCTGGTCCATCGAGGGCCGCTATCCAGCATATTTTAATTTCAACCCTGCGTCATCACACCTGATTTCAATCAGCAGGTGATTAACAAGCTTCTGCAGCGCTTGATGAGCTGCAGAACAGGTGAACCAACCACTGAATCAGAAGTGTTGGAGCAAAGACATGCAGGACACCAACCCTCGAGGACCAGGGTTCCCCACTCCCGGCGTAAATGAAGAATTAGCCTAACTTCTGTTTTCAAATCAAATCAAATCAAATCAACTTTATTTATAGAGCGCTTTCACATGGCCAGAATGGACAAACAAAGCACTGTACATCAATAAAATGCCACACAATAGGACAGAGATATGACCATTAAAATACATTAAAAAATCCATTAAAATACACTAAGAAATCCCTGTAAAATACATTAATAAATCCTATAAAAATACAATAAGAAATCCATTTTAAAATACAGTACAAAAACCTGAGTGCCAGTTCACATTCCATATCCGGCCTACTTCCCCCAACTTCAACGTCCAAAAGCCAGCGAGAACAGATGTGTTTTCAGTCTTCCTTTAAAGGTTTCTAATGACTTGGCCTGTTTTACATCAGCTGGCAGCTCATTCCAGAGACCTGGTCCAAGTACTGAAAAAGCTCGACTACCACGAGACTTCAGGCTGTACCTAGGCACAGTTAGTAATCTCTGGTCAGCTGACCTAAGGGAACGCACCGGGACATGCTGGTGGATGACATCAGAAAGATATTTAGGAGCCCCTGTGTTTAACGCCTTGAACACAAACAGGAGGACCTTAAACCTGATGCGATAAAAAACAGGGAGCCAATGCAAGGCACGTAGGACTAGTGTTATATGTTCAGACCTCCTGGTAGATGTTAACAACCGGGCTGCAGAGTTCTGAACCGCCTGGAGGCGTGCTACTGGAGCTTGTCTAAGCCCCGCATATAGCGAATTACAGTAATCCAGCCTGCAGGTAATAAAGGCATGGATTACAGTTTCCAAATGATTATGGCACAGAAATGGCTTAATTTTCGCAATGCGGCGTAGATGAAAAAAGCAAGATCTCACAACACTGTTCACCTGAGCATCAAATCTGAGATCTGCGTCCAGTTTTACCCCTAAGTTAGAGACCACCGCCTTCTGATGCGGTGCCAGAGTGGCAAAATCAAGCCCTTGGGCACCTCCTGGGGTCTTTGGTGGCGTGAACAGAATAACTTCCAGTTTTAGCTGATCTAGCTGTGTGCCACCGTATCCTCTGTCCCAAAACACCAGTCCCACATCATGATCCTATCACCACCATGCTTGACATTTTCTTCAGGCTCAGCTCGACTTCTCCAAACTTGCTTCTTGCACTCGTGATCAGAAAACTCAGCGTTTGTCTCATCTGACCATCAAACTTGTCTCCAGAAGACATTTGTCTCGTCCGAGTGGACAGCAGCAGCCTTCTTCTTTGGTCCACTTGAACCTCGGTGGCTCCTGAGTTGATCTTGAACATCCTCAACGTTTTGCTCTCATCTGGAGATACAGATAAGAGTCATTAAAGCCAGGAACCGCTGAAAAACCTGTCAGACCTTCTGTTTTCAATTCAATTCCATTCAAGTTTATTTATAATGCACCAAACACAACAAGAGTCGTCTCAAGGCTCTTCACATAATAAACATTCCAATTCAGGTCAGTTCATTAAGCCAATCAGAAAAAGGTTTCCTGTATAAGGAACCCAGCAAATTGCATCGAGTCACTGACTAGTGTCAGTGACTCTACAGCAATCCTCATATTAAGCAAGCATGCAACGAAAGTGGAGAGGAAAACTCCATTTTAACAGGAAGAAACCTCCAGAGGATCCTGGCTCAGTTGGGGTAGTCGATTTTAGTTGTTTCCCTGCTCCAAAATGCTTGTTTCATCAGTTCAGAAGTTCAGCAGGCTCTGCAGAAGCCTTTTAGTCACGTGCTGATTCAGCCAGGTGTGTTGAAGTATAGGGTAACGACTAAAATATGCTAGGTACCGGCCCTCAGGCAAGGCAGTTGAACACCGTTCTAGAGCCTTCAGCTTCAGCCCGATTTTAGTGAATAAGTAAATATTTAACTTTCCTTTAGACACATTCATGGTGTCAGCTGCAGGCTCGCTGGTCGAAGATGAGTTTTGCAGCCACAACTCCACTAAAATGACTAAAATGAAATAAAACTGGGTAATTTTTGTGCCTTTTAAAGTGACAGGAAACAGAAATTGTTTTTTTCGCAGGGCGAACAGAAACCTTTTGAGAGGGTTTATGATGTCAGCTCAGGTGATCCCCACCGGGTCGGGATGCCTCCCCTCACTTTCATTCGCCAGGTTGGTGAACGTTACTCGATTCTGCATCTCTGACATAGATCCGAACACGTCTGAGTGTCACCTCTGGTTTGTTTCTCAGGTCTTAGCTGCGTGTTTGTACCCAGACCTCCTGAAGGATGACAGCTTGCCTGTGGACGTACGACAGAGGGCTCGGACGCTTCTGGATGTCTGTGAAGGAGGCAGCGTAGGTATGAGATAAGGAATTTTACCTGAAAAAGGTGACTTTGAGCCTTTTTTTGCTCAGTTTGTTCTGCCGCGACAGGCTCGTACTCGCTCACCTACTCCGGGATTCCACTCATCCAGAAAACGATTGCCGAGTTCATCACCAGGAGAGACGGTGGCGTGGAGTCAAAACCGGAGAACATCATCTTCTCCAGCGGCTTAGAGAGGGCGCTGTCGGTAGGAAAACCAGGAGTGGGAACCTCAGGAGGACTCCAGATCAGTTTCAGACTGTGAAATGTAACCTTTCGTTTGTGTGTGTGTGAAGCTGGTGTTGCACCTGCTGTCTGGTGGGGAGGGGCAGACTCGGACAGGTGTGCTGACCCCCGTGCCCTGCCCACACACGCTACCCATGCAGCTGGATGAGGCCCACTTAGAACAGGTGTCCTACCAGCTGCTGGAGGAGCAAGGCTGGGCGCTGGACCTGGCCGAGCTGCACCGAGCCCTGAGGACCACCAGGGGGCGCTGTGAGACCAGAGCTATTTACATCAGCAACCCAGGAAACCCCACGGGTACATAACAGCAGCACCACCTCCACGAAGGGAAGTCAGAGGATGAAACACAGAATCTCTACAGATTCATGGACGTTTCACTAAAACTTCACAACGTAGCTGAGAGTCTGTCATAGTTTCGGCTCTTCTGCACGTCTAGAACTGTATTACTTAGGATTGTGAAGTCCATTTATTGTTTGATCACAACAAAGCATCAGCTCTAATAAAGTTTTAATCTAATGAAAAGGTTTCTTCCAGAAGCCGTTTAGTGAATCCTCACCGCCTCTCAGTCGGGTCTTGTTTAGAAACTCTGGTTTAGACGTTGATCAGGTTAGTCATCACAGATTTCTCATCTTTGATGAAACACTTCAGGTTTCTCTAAAACCATCTCCAGCAGGGTTACATGTGGTTGTTTTTGTGCCTCTGCATTGTGTCTTTTGCGATAACTGAGATGTTTTGGTTAAGTTTAAATGTCCAGCTGCTCTCCTCCGGCCGACGCGGTTATAATTATCCACCGAGGACGAAAACTGGTTCTGTTTTCTCTGCCAGGCCATGTTCAGGACAGGAAAACCATAGAAGAAGTGATTCGATTTGCTGCATCCGAGAGCCTCGTTCTGCTGGTTGAAGAGGTGACGACGCCCTCTCGTCTCCCTTCAGCTTCTCAGTCAAACAAACTCAGCGTCTCTGTGCCGTTTTTCACCTTTAGGTGTTCCAGGACAGTGTTTTGGGTCAGGAGAAAAGGTTTGTCTCCTACAGGAAGGTTTTGCTTGAGATGGGTGAGCCGTACTCCAAGAGGGTGGAGCTGGTGTCGTTGCACTCCCTGTGCACAGCCGGGATGGGCGAGTAAGTTCTGCTGCTACAGCTCAGGGGTACTTAAGCTTGTTACAAACCCAAGTGTGGCTTTCTAGGAGTTTGAGGGCTTGCAACATAAAAGGGAGACGAGGCAGTGCCTTTACAAACAAAAATTATGTTTTATTCCTCAGTTAAACAAAACTCAGTAACTAGCAACACAAACTCAGGATAGTTTCAGGGCAAAATCCAGAAAACCTAAACCTAACAAAGGACCAATAAGGGAAAACAAACAAATTAGCAATTTAATAATAATAATAACAACAACAACAACAACAACAACAATAATGACCGAAAGAACGAGATCACGGATACAAGCGGCCAAAATGAGTTTCCTCCGTAGGGTGGCCGGGCTCAGCCTTAGAGATAGGGTGAGGAGCTCGGACATTCGGGAGGGACTCGGAGTAGAACCGCTGCTCCTCCTGATCGAAAGGAGTCAGTTGAGGTGGTTTGGGCATCTGATCAGGAAGCCTCCTGGACGCCTCCCTGGGGAGGTGTTTCGGGCATGTCCTGCCGGCAGGAGGCCCCCGGGTTGACCCAGGACACTTTGGAGAGGTTACATCTCCAATCTGGTCCGGGAATGCCTTGGGGTCCTGCCGGAGGAGCTGGTGGAGGTGGCTGGGCAGAGGACGGTCTGGTGCTCCCTAGTTGGGATGCTGCCCCCGCGACCCGGACCCGGATAAGAGGAGGAAGACGACGACGACGACCACAGCTTGCCATCTTTTTCCAAATCATTCCACGATTAACATCCAAACACGAGCACACAGAGAACACAACTAATGTTCAGAGAATTCAAATGGCCGAATATCTATTAGCAAGAGGCCGAGGCTGAGGCCTTACTCAGAGCTAGCCTGCTAGCTCCAGCTGACGCTCATGCTACCTGTCATCCATCCATCCATTTTCGGCCACATGTCCGGGGTTGGGTTGCGGGAGCAATAGCCTAAGCAGGGAGATTACCGTTTCCCCAGCCACTTGTCATTACCTTCCTGTCAATCAAATTTAATTATCCATAATTTCAAGCATTTAATTACACCTAAATGGAAGAAATCCCCCCCAAGTTATCATGACTGAAAACTTGATCTATTAAACCTATACAATTCTTTCTTACCAGACTGAGAACGTGTTTATTCCTTCTGAGAAGTTTACATTTTTAATGTGGCAAGGTGAAGAAACGAGGGCCCGGGCGGGATTTGATCCCCAGACTCCCAGGTGAGAGTCACACGCTCAGCCAGAGGGACATCCCCTTGGCCGAGTAGCCAGGGCGCATGATCAATCAGGACACTGTGCAATCTACTGTCATCTCCCGCCTAGATTACTGCAATGCCCTTCTAAGTGTTCTTCCTGTACTGCGAGACCTCTTCAAATGGTCCAGAACGCAGCGGCATGTCTGGTCTTCAATCAGCCAAAAAGAGCACACGTCACCCCTCTGTTCATTGAGCTCCACTGGCTACCGCTAGCAGCACACATCAAATTCAAATAGCTAACACTAGCATACAAAGTCCGAGATGGTACGGCTCCCATCTACCTGAATCCTCTTGCAAAGGCTTACGTCTCGGCCCGGCCGCTCCCGTCATCACAGGATCGTCGGCTAGCAGTGCCTACACCACGCTCAGGACAATCCAGACTCTTCTCATGCATCGTTCCACAAATGTGGAATGACCTACCAAGCACTACCAGAACAGCGGCTTCCTTTTCAATTTTCAAGAAACTCCTGAAGACCCTGCTCTTCAGAGAGCATCTTCTAAACTAGCACCCTCCCTGCACCTGTCCCCCCTCTCTACTGTCCACTCCTTGTTCCCTCCTCTCCATGATTGATGTCAAGTTGTTGGTATTGTTGTTGTTAGCCTCAAGGGCAGCATGCCGATTATCACTTGTAAGTCGCGTTGGACAAAAGCGTCTGCTAAATACATAAACATAAACATAAACATAAACAACAGACTTCCTTTCATCCGTGGCAGTGAGTAAAAAGGTACATGTGTAAAACAACGTTTATGAACGGTGAAAGTTTTGATAACGTTAGTTACAAATCAGCACATGTCCTTACAGGCTCCCGTAGAAGGAAACATGGCATCGCCCTGAGACTTAGACCCGCTTCCATGTATTTTAGACCCGATTTTTAGGGTTAAATGTTAAGAAGCCACCAATATCGTTCAACAACAGGGCATCATTTCATTAATTTTCAACAACGTTTTGATGGATATTTCCAGAGATTACCGATTCTTATCACTGCAGACTCAAAAATTAACAAAGAGAAATGACCAAAAAGACTCAAACAAATACAAATCTGCGAGGATAAAAATGTTTCATTCCTGTTGGGATGTTCCAGGTGCGGTCTGAGAGGGGGCTACATGGAGGTGATCAACATGGATCCAGCTGTTAGGGAGTTTATAAACATTTTACCGTGTTCTGGCAGCCCTCCGATTCTACCCCAGCTGGCTTTGGGTGTGATGGCCAGTCCTCCGTCACCCGGAGACTCTTCATATGAGACCTTTATGCAGGTATAACACCAATAAACACACGCTCATACTACTACTACTACTACTAATAAAAATATTAGGGGTGGGAATTTATGATTAAATACGATTATGATTAATTATGAAAAATACATGTTAATAAGAATTCACACATTTGATCACAGCTTGCATTTTCAAGTGTTTGATTTCCTGGTAGACCGATTACACTGACGCCCACATGAGAGTCTTGGGGTGTTTTTTAATGCCAAGGAAGCTTACCTTGATGTCTTGTTCTGGCCCCGGTTGCCTAGGAGATACGTCATCAGGAACCACCAAGGCGTGTTCCAATGTTCATGCTGTACCATGGTGCCTGTTCTCCATTTGTTAGCCATTTAGCTAGCTGAGCAAGGATACACGGGAAGTGCCTTGTGGCCTGGCGTTGGTCAAAAATTTCCCAGTTTACAGTGCGGTATTTTCAAAAGGATGGCAAATCAGGATCCGGAAGCTACTTCGGGGACAGCTTTGGTGGCTAGCATGTAGTAACTCGTTTACTTGTTTAATTTAACCAATATATACACAATTTAAAAAGTAAAAGGCTTGTTATATATTTATATTGAATCTTATACGTATAATTAAAAGGAACGCTGTTGTCTCGGAAGCTGTAAGCGTTGCCATGGTGATGTTCTCGGGGCTCTCAGCCCCTACGCTGCGGATCTCAGACGGCTTGGTCTGGGCTGTTAGCTTTGTAAGTAACGTTGCTCACGTGATCATCTGTGAAACCGGGAACAGGTTCACAGCGCGGAGGTGCAGCTTGTTATCACTGCATTCAAACTAGTATAACTGTCATTGGCGCCAGAGTTATTTTGAAACTGGTAGGATTCAGCAACTCAACTGTTAAGCTAACATTTTAGCTAAAAAGGCCTTTAGTTTAGCACCAATGTTCGAAGTACAAAACAACAAAATCAAAAGCAGAAGGGGACGTAAGCAATTTAGAACTTCCTTGGATTACCTTTTTAAAACATTCCGGTTCGGTTCTGTGCGCCATCTGCATCCAAAAATGTCACTGCAACACAGAAGAAACACAGAACCTCGGTGAGTACAGCTCACTCTTTGTGTGTGTGTGTGTGTGTGTGTGTGTGTGTGTCTGTTTGTCCAAGTCCAGCGCACTTGTCCCGGCACTGTCTCAGACGGTCCTTCAGTTAGACGGCAGCTTTTATTGTCTTTTTTCCTGAGACAGCTTTCATGTGCTGCCATGGCTCAGGGGCTGGCCACTCATTTTGGATTTGAGGATTTGTAGCATGGACGTAATTTTCACTTTAGAAGGGGGGGGGGGGGGGGGGGGGGGGCGTTCTTTACAGTATGCTCTAATGGGAAACAGGCTTCAACACAAACGGTTGTTTTCCGCTTGGTCCTAGAGCTCATTCAGTGTCAATTTAATATAGCGTAATATTGTTTTTGGATGGTAAAAAGTGCAGGGGTCAAAACTTGACTTTGGAAAAAGGGGGGGGGGGGGGGGGGACATGTCCCCCCTTGCCGCCCCCCCCCCAAAAAAAAAATTACGTCCATGATTTGTAGAATAGGGTGACCATACATCCTCTTTTCCCCAGACATGTCCACTTTTCTCTCCCTGTCCAGGATCTCTGAGGGGGTTTCCCACATTGATCAAATTGTCCGGTTTTTCTTCCAGGAGCAGGGATCGAATTATGGTGGGCTGCAAATCTTACACTTTCAAGGAGAGCCATTTTCTACCTATATTACAATATTTATGAGCTCAGTGTACCAGGGATGCTTTTGAGCGGAGCGGCAGAGCGTTGGTGCGCTCACTCCGTCTGGCGCACGGTACATTCACAAATTGGCACAACGAATAATTATTATTAATACACGATTGTTCATGTCCATTTATATCCTCTGGTACTCTGTCTTTTAATCATTCCTGACGCGCTCTGCTGATGATTTCACCTCACTGACGCAGCATTGAAACGCACACTCCGCTTTGTGGTCAGAAAATCACTTTGGTCTTCTTAGTTCAAAAGCAACTCATGAAGTGAAAAAGTAAGAAGCCAGGCGGCAGTTTTTCTGGAGAATTTAGAGGAGATGCAGGACGATGAGAGACAGACAGGACAGGAAAATATCCATCCATCCATTCTCTTCCGCTTATCCAGATTCGAGTTGTGGGTGCAGCAGTCTAAGTCGAGAGGCCCTGACTTCCCTCTCACCAGCCACTTGGGCCAGCTCTTCTGGGGGGATCCCAGGGCTTTCCTTTGGTCATGCAAGAGACATAGTCTCCAACGTGTCTTGGGTCTCCCTCTAGGTCTCCTCCCAGTTGGACGTGCATGGCTTGATTATTAAGAGCTTTATATGTGAGAAGAAGGATCTTAAAATCTATTCTGAATTTAACAGGTAGCCAATGTAGGGAAGCTAAGACAGGAGGGATATGATCTCTCTTTTTAATTCTCATCAGGACTCTCGCTGCAGCATTTTGGACAAGCTGAAGACTTTAAACTACATTCTGTGGACTTCCTCAAAGTAATGGATTACAGTAATCCAGTCTTGATGTAATAAATGCATGAACTAGTTTTTCAGCATCACTCCTGGAAAGGATGCTTCTAATCTTAGCAATATTCCGAAGGTGGAAGAAGGAAATCCTACAAACCTGTTTAACGTGGGATTTGAATGACATGTCCTGGTCAAAGATAACACCAAGGTTCCTTACTTTGTTCTCAGAGATTAATCTAATGCTATTAAGGCCCCCCATCCCCTCTTATCCTCATGTAACCCTTCTCTATCTAAATGAAGGTGAGTGCCTTGATGCCTGCTCTTGTGGTCTGCCTGTATCTGCTTTTTGTTCTACATGTCTGAGTGTTTAACCTTGGTCAGGCTGTGGTGCTGAGACAAATAGAGGATGCTGAGGCAATGACAAAACGTTGATTCCAATTCTGATTTTGATTAAATTTTTCTGGCTCTTCACTAACACAGAGTAAATAGAGCTTGTTTTTACCTTTTTGCTGATATGTTTCTGCTCTGACTGTAACCACCGTCAGAGCACCGTTGATGTTGGTGGAGTCATTTCCGTCTTTGCGTTTATCTGATATCGCCCTCTACTGCCTGCCAACAAAACCATATATTACAGTTAGAAAAAGACTAGTACACCCAAAAGACAAGAGACATTGCAGAGCAGAAATGTGGAGCCATATTCAATATCCCATGCAATCTCTCCAATAAAACTTACATAGGAGAAACCGGACGCCATCTTAACACACGAAAAGTAGAACGTAAAAAGGAGTGTGAGACGGAAACGAGTCAATGACAAACAACAGCAGCAACACAAGAGGCAGAAAGTAGTGTAAAGAAATCAGCCGTAACACACCACTGTCGTTGTCGTCGTCTTCCTCCGCTTTTCCGGGTCCGGGTCGCGGGAGCAGCATCCCAACTAGGGAGCACCAGACCGTCCTCTCCCCGGCCACCTCCACCAGCTCCTCCGGCAGGACCCCAAGGCGTTCCCGGACCAGATTGGAGACGTAACCTCTCCAACGTGTCCTGGGTCGACCCGGGGGCCTCCTGCCGGCAGGACATGCCCGAAACACCTCCCCAGGGAGGTGTCCAGGAGGCATCCTGACCAGATGCCCAAACCACCTCAACTGACTCCTTTCGATCCGGAGGAGCAGCGGTTCTACTCCGAGTCCCTCTCGAATGTCCGAGCTCCTCACCCTATCTCTAAGGCTGAGCCCGGCCACCCTACGGAGGAAACTCATTTCGGTTGCTTGTATCCGAGAACTCGTTCTTTCGGTCATTACCCAAAGCTCATGACCATAGGTGAGGATTGGGACGTAGATCCACCGGTAACAGACCACTGTACAAGGGAAACTTATAGAATGGACTGAGACACAACAAGGATCATAAACACCAAACAACAGAAATACAGAAGATTCGGGAGAAGTGGGTCGAGGACCATCATCAGGGACCAAGAAGTATACACGCTGGACCATTAATGGGACTTGGTGATCAATAGGTAAGGCACGGGCAGCAGAGGACGATATTATCCTGTGCTGCCCGCGGATAAACGGAGATAGAAGTGGCTCCACTAACATCGGCATCGCTCGGATGAAGACTAAAGTGCGAACCAAAACATTTCGGCAAAGGTAAAAACAAGCTTTATTTTCTCCGTGTAGTGAAGAACCTGAAAGATAGAATCAGATAAGGAACAGAGAACAAACGTAGCAAAGATGTTCAGTGGTGGCTTTAGCCTTGAATTGGTGAAGGGTAATCTGAGTTCAGCTGGTAACGAATTCCAAAGGGAGGAGCGGAGCTGCTGAAAGCTCGACTTCCCGTGGTGAAGAGATGAGTGGGGGACTGTGCTGGCTGATGGTAGCTGAAGATCTGAGCAAGCAGAAGGATGTAGACACGTGTAGGCGGCACGGGAGAAATGAGGGGGCAAGGTTGTCAATGGCCTTATATGTGAGAAGTAAATTCCATTGTTGGTTCTTTTTTAAAACACAGAAAAGGTTTCTCTTTACCTTGCTGACTGTTTTGTTTGCCGACCGCAAAACATCCTCAAATGAAATACAAAAGATGGATAAAGGAAGCCATAGAGAAAAGGAGACGTGGATGCAGGACCATGAACAGAGACGATGGGGTCTACACGTTGGATCGTGCATGGGACTGTCATCGGAGAGGGGAGAGCGGGCAGCAGAGGGCGACAACGTCCTGCTGCCCGCGGATAAACGGAGTAGGAAGTGACGCCACCATCCGCGTCAGCTCTGAGGAAGTTTGCAGCCACAAAGGAAACATCAGCAAGGTAAAGAAAAAACCTCATAAGTGTTTAAAAATAACCAACAATGGAATTAGAAACTAGACACAGCAAGAACATACCAAAGATGTGAGGAGTTAAATTTTGTAGTCAACCCAGAAATGTATCAGTAGCCAATGAAGCTGCTGGATAATGGGGGTGATGTGGTCAGAGGAGACTGTTTTCATGATTATACGAGAAACAGAGTTTTGGACATCCAATATCTCACTGTCAGGTCATTTAAAGAGCAAGTCACCCCCTACCAGAGTCTTACTCCACTCCCACTTCCTGTCTGAAAAATGCAACAAATGCTGTTGTCTGGTAGACCGAGAGGGCGGAGCCACGAACAAATACACACACAGGCTCACCACAGCATTGTGACATCATAATGTACCCGCTAAAGTCATAGTGTATCTCTTAGCCAATAGCGATTGCAGATTTAAATTCAAATGTGCAGTAGTGCAGAGGTTTTACCTGAAGAGGGCGCAACACTGACAATTTTTGGTAGAATATTACAATTTTAACTAGCTACTGACTACACGTGTCTACAGCACGATTATACACTCATGTATATAGTTTATTAACAAAAAATAGTTGAATTGGAGTGATTTGCTCTTTAAGTTGTTTTCTGGCATTTTTAAATATGATTTTCTTTACAGAGCTAACATTTTTTTTCATGTCAACAAATTGAGATAATTTTCTAGAGTAAAATATGGTTTTGGTTTAAAAACAAAGGAACAACACAGGAATAGCACTGTTCTTCTTTTCCCTTTTGGCTTCTGCCCTTGTTTTCTTTGCAGCTGCATCAGGAGGAAATGAAGACATAAAAACATAAAAAGCGAGAAATTAATGTTCTTTTTTGTTCAGCGTTGGAAAAAAACACAAAACAAACAAATAAATGAAAGAATATTAATGTTCTCTTGTCCCGTACTGTTTTTTTCCTCGTAAAGGAGGTTCTTCACGTAGAGAGAACTCTTTCCCACAATGCTCGGCGGGCGTGTGAGTTCCTGAACGGTTTACCCAGAATGAGCTGCGTGCCAGCAGAGGCAGGAATCTTTCTCTATCCACGTCTGGATTTACCACTTGGAATAACGGAGCAGGCTCAGGTCATTATCAGCTTTATTTGAATAGATTTAATTGATTTACAGACTTAAAAATGTCATGCTGCGCTCCTGGTGATGAATGAATGATGTGTTGGATCCCAGATGTTGGGAGTGGAGCCAGATGTTCTGTTCTGTCAGAGGTTTCTGGAGGAAGAAGGTGTCTGTGTGGGTCCAGGCTGTGAGAATGGACAGGATGACGACAACTTCCACATCAGGTCAGCGAAACCAACAGCTCTGTGATTATTGTGTTTGGTGCTTTTAGAGACACACACGAATAAAAAAGTAATGTGATGAAAGATTATTCTAGTGTTTTCTGTTGGAGCCCAAAATCTTTGTGTCGTTTTTTTTTTTTTGCTGACAGGATTTGTGTTTTGGCGCCCCCTGCAGCCCTGGAGGAAGTCCTGACTCGGCTGCGTTCTTTCCACCTTCGCCTCCTGAGCAGCTGCTGCTGATGGAGAGGACATGACTAAATCTCCGACAACAATCAAACCTCCTAAACAAGTTTATTATAAAGAAAACTTCTGATTTCATTCTTACTCAGCAAGATAAAAAATGACTGGATAAAATGCATTACTAGGAAGTTATTCACGTGGAAACCCGTTAAATAGAGGGAAACACGGTTTCTTTACTGCATTTAATCTACTGATCACGCAGCCTCCCCTGATCCTTCTGGTCAAGTCTCCTGACGGGTTTTCTGGGCACTGGGAAGGATTTGATATCCTCTATAGAGATACCTTGGGATCCAGCAGGAGGAGATGGAGGCGGACACCCGGGTATAACTCCTGGATTTGTTACCTTCATGCCTGGGAAAGGGATGGAGATAGGTAGATGGATTTATGATAACCTACGATAGCAGATCTCTTTGTAATCATTTCTATATTTTTCTTTTGATTGTTCCTGATTAGTTTAAAGAATCATTAAACCTAAATTATTGTCAGCTGTTTAAATGTCAAAGTTCTGCTTTTTGTCACTGAGGTAAATCCTCTGGCTGCATGGTGGTTTGCTGCATTGCTGCAAGGATGTTGCAGGTTCAAATTCCTGCCGCAGCCTTTCTGCGTGGAGTTGGTGTGTTCTCTTCATGCGTGTGCGGGCTTTCTCCAGTTTCCTCCCACAGACCATAAACATGCGTTAACTGGAGACCCAAAGTAGGTGTGGGCAGGTTGTTTGTCCCTGTGATGCACTGGAGACCATGCCCAGTATGTCCCCCGCCTCTCAGCCGAGGGCTGCTGGAGGTGGACACCAGCTCCCGGAGTCCCTAAGAGACGTAATAACTGCAGACGATTAAACCTCCTAAAACCTCAGAGCAGACAAAGGTTTATCTGACTGCTGTGTGGGATCTGCTGATGACCACTGGGTGGCACTGTAATAATGTAATTACTTTACAGATGATTTATTTTAGGTGGGGCGCTGTTGTTTCACTGGAACAAGGTCGGAGAGAAAAAGCGAGTTTAAACATAAAACAAGATAATTATTAGATGTGAATCAAGACTGGATCCTGCTTTAATAAAGGATCGGCTAAAGGGTTACAGCACAGACAGATTCATGCGTGTGATGCAAATCAATCTTAAGGATGTAGCTCGTTTTAATCTGAGGACTCCAGGAGAAAAGCCTGGAGACGGAGCATGGGGGGGGGGGGGTCTATCCTCAGCTGTAAATAAGGTGCTTACTGCTGTTATCCTTCTTCATCTTCCTTTCCCCTGCTTGTCATTCACTCCATCCTCTCACGACCACTGGAGTTCAGATTTGCACATGCTATATATTTATTCCCCTCCAGCTGCTCCTGTGAGGGAATGGTGAGTGCGAGGAGGAATCATTCCTCAAAAGCAAAGCCTCTTTGCTGGAGCTCAGGGAGCCACTGAGGAGGAAGCCACAGCAAGTCCTCCGAGTCGCAGCAGGATGGAAAACAGGGCCATGTTTCATCTAGTGAGCCTTTATTATTAGGATAATATCAAATGTTTGATCACATCCTGTCTGAGATGTGATGATGGCTTTATAAAAATGACCTTCCAGGATCCGTTGTCGGTCTTCACACACAGAGCATGTAGCTGACACAAAGCAGCATCAGTCTGAGTAAAAACAACAACGTGCTGGACAGGCGAGGCGGTGAAGACAGAGAGCAGAAAAACGAGTCTAGTCCACAAATATCCTGGTCTAAAGAGCACCGAGGCTTGCATCTGCGTGGGGATGAAGGCAGCAGACTGGGCTTGTTACAGCTTACGGCTCAGTGGGTCCAGACCCGAAAACCAGACTGACCAGAACTGGTGAAGGAAATGGTGTTAAACCAGTTACCATGCGTCAAGTACAGAGACCTGTAATCTGGTCTTCATGACATCATTCTTCTAGGACATAAGAGACTAAGGGTCTACATTACTGAGAGCACGTCCCGTTTGGTGACTAGTTCAGTTTGGAGAAATCCTTTTATAACTGACAGAAAACAGAACGGCGAGTCAACAACGCAGCGCCCAGGCTTCCGAACGGAGAAACGCGGATGCTCTTAAGAAAAGCGGGACTTTTCACCAAATTCTCCACAAGACTGCAGATAGTCTGTGGGGACAACTAGATGTTAGAAACGATCAATCTTTTATAAAGCGCCTCTCACGATAAAATTCATGAACAAGTGTAAAAAAGATTTTAAAAAATTATTAAATGTGTTTAAAATGAGAAAAATAATTAAAGTAAAAGAACAAGGAGAGGGTAATGAAGGTCATACAAAAGCCTGAACAGGTGAGTTTAAAGGACACCACTGAGCCCACTGATCTCAGGCTCAGGGGGATAGAGGTCCTCCTGGGGGGAGCAGCGGCGCTACTCAGAGCCCCTCCCAGATATTCCCGTTCTTTACTTCATAGCAGCCAATCAGGGGATGGGTGGGTGAGGCCAGCTCCACAATTTATCCTGTTTTACTGGACTAAACTGAAACAAGCAGAAAAAAATACCTTATTCCCCACTTTTATCACCTGGGTGTGGACACAAACCCCTTACCTTTGTTCTAAATATCTATTTAAGACAGCAGCTTTATTCCATAAAGAGTTAAATCATGGAAAAACCCGTGTTTCCTCAAAGCAGCAGCGGATTTCCCTCTGGATTAACCAGCCCGGTTTCAAACTCCACCACCGTTCTAAAGAAGGAAACAAAATGTAGACACTTCTCTAATGACAGCATCCAATGAGCTCAGATGCTGGAAAATACACTAATTAGTAAATGATGCAAAAGCAAACCTATAAAAAATGTGAGTATTTAAATGAGCAAAGAAACATACCCTGAAATCCAGCATGAATGCAAATAAAGTAAAGCCTTCTGCACATTATGTGTTTTTGTAAAACACCCCGAGAGCCTCAGCAGGAAGCACCGGTGCACCCACACATTTCCACACTCAGCGTTTAATTACACACAAGCTTCTGGAATGACCGTCTTCAGGCGCGCGGAGGAGAACCGGGCCGAGATAACGATTAGAGTTGGTCATTAGAATCAGCTCAAGAACATCTGTGCATCCTCCAGGAACACAGCGGCTCCTCAGAAACACGAAAAGGAAAAGGGACGGTTTCAACATGAACATGATTCCATCGGGTTTAGTGTTTATTTACTGATATATTAGGTTTTTTTATTGAAGAAAATAACTATTTTAGAGAGCAAGAAAACCAAACTTGTTTGAAATGTACTGATTTTTTTTCTCCCACATCAAAAGCACAGCGGTTGAACATCTGTTTCTATCAGTGGAGCCGTTTGGATGCCACTTAATTATTGCTTTGTGCTTTCTCTGGTTTCATAAATGCAATTAGATCCCGGTGATAATCCCATCCACACCGCGACTGACCGTCTCCCTGTTTGTTTCACCATCTGCCTGCTGGCCTTCGTGTCTGTGAAACGCTGATTTCATCATGAGTGATGCAACAGACCGTACGCATGGCGAGACCCTGCAGACTCTGGATGAGGAGCAAAGTGGTTTAAATGATGTGAACGTGGTCCAGTTGTCTCCTCTGAAGCAACTAAAAGCTGAAAAGTGCATCCTGCGTGTTTTTGTGACTAAACCCTTCGTCGGGTTAGAAAGTAACGACTCGTAGGAATCAGTGAAAGACTTGGTAAAAAGACTGATAGGTGGACTGGTGAAGCGTCTGCAGGGATGTGGGCGTTGCATGGATGTAATTTTCACTTTAGAAGTGGGGGGGGGGGGGACACGGGGGGGGGGGCATCTTTACAGTATGCTCTGCTGGCAAACAGGCTTCAATGGTTGTTTTCCGCTTGGTCCTAGAGCTCAACCAGTGTCGATTTAATATAGCGTAATATTGTTTTTCGATGGTAAAAAGTGCAGGGGTCAAAACTTGACTTTGGTAAAAGTGTGTGTGTGTGTGTGTGTGTGCCCCCCCCCCCCCACGTCCCACCTAAAATTACGTCCATGGGGCCTGGTACCGGTCTGTGGTAGCTGAGGGTAGGAATGTAGATGTGTGTGTGTGTGTGTGTGTGTGTGTGTGTGTGTGTGTGTGTGTGTGTGTGTGTGTGTGTGTGTGTGTGTGTGTGTGTGTGTGTGTGTGTGTGTGTGTGTGTGTGTGTGTGTGTGTGTGTGTGTGTGTGTGTGTGTGTGTGTGTGTGTGTGTGTGTGTGTGTGCTCTGTCTTCTCCATCCCCAGTGAGTCGTGGAGGATGGCTGCTTATACTGAGCCAGGATCCTCTGGAGGTTTCTTCCTGTTAAAAGGGAGTTTTCCTCTCCACTGTCGCTGCATGCTTGCTTAGTATGAGGATTGCTGTAAAGACTCTGACACTAGTCAGTGACTCGATGCAACCTGCTGGGTTCCTTATATAGGAAACTTTTTTCTGATTGGCTCAATGACCTGACCTGAATTGGAATGTTTACTGTGTGAAGGTCCTTGAGACGACTCTTGTGTGATTCGGCGCCTTGTAAATAAATTGAACTGAACGTTCATATCCAGAAGCTGTGGCACAGACCAGTGGAGTCCCCGTCACAGCTAGTCATGCAAAGTAGAGCCCTGCACGGGCCTAAAATCTGAGCCCGTGTCCGGCCCGGCCCGAGACTGGTGTCAAGCCAGCCTCCAGTTGGAGATTTGCAGTCAAGCCAGCCTCCAGTTTATTGTCGCTTCCCCGTCTATTATAAGTATTACGGGAAGGGATGTGAAAACCGAATTTCAAAATAAAATTCAACTTCGAGTGAATTATCAGATATTTTAAGAACATAATAAATAATTTAGGCTTGTTCACTATTAGCACCCTGTCAATATCAAGGCAATCTTATTTTGGATTTCAAAGTAAAAGCCCTGTGAATTTTAATTTTTGAACTACTCTTTCAATGACTTCAGAATGCTCTTAAAAGCAAAAGTTAAATTTCCAAAGAGCAGTTGCATTTTGTATCAACACTATCACACCACAGCAATTTGAAATTGCCCATTTTGACCGACTCTTTGAATGATTTCAAAATGCTCTAAAATGGAAAGTTGCTGTTTCCACAGGGTAACTCCACTTTCAATCAACAGTACACAACCCCACAGTGATACCATATGAATATCACAACATTCTGATGTTGCATTTCAAAATAAAGGCCTTTTAAAATTGTCCATATACGACCAAACTTTAACGAATTCAAAATGCCCTAAAGTGGAAAGTTGCTGTTTCCACTGGGTAACTCCACGTTATATCAACAGTACACAAGCCCACAGTGATACCATATCAATATCATGTCATTCTGATGTTGCGTTTCAAAATAAAGGCCTTTTAAAATTGTCCATAATTTACATACCTTTAACAAATTCAAAATGCTCTAAAATGGAAAGTTGCTGTTTCCACAGGGTAACTCCACTTTCAATCAACAGTACACAACCTCACAGTGATACCATATGAATATCACAACATTCTGATGTTGCATTTCAAAATAAAGGCCTTTTAAAATTGTCCATAATTTACATACCTTTAACAAAATCAAAATGCTCTAAAATGGA